TTTCGAATTTGTCAAAAGATGAATATATGATGTACCATGATTGAAGTTTAATGTGCAATTGAGAAGAGTATTTTCTCTGTGGTTGTTGGGTATAGTACTCTGTAAAGTCTTTCATCTTTTTAACTCATTGAACATATTTCTTATAGCTACATTGAATCCTTGGACTTAATACAGGGCCTCAATTATTTGCTTGCTGATGGCCAAACACTTCTCTCAGTTCCTTGCCATGAGAACCTTTCTATAGGAATCACAACATGGTAGCTGAATTCCATCAGAATGATCAAACAAGAAAGCAAGAAAGGGCAAGCAAAATGAAATTCAGTCTTTTTTGGAAACTAATCTCAGAACTGACATTCCATAATTTTGTCATATTCCCATTTATTAGAAATAAATCTTGATTTTGTAATTGCACAAGGACATGGCTATCAGGAGAGAAGGATCATTGCTAGACATCTTAGGGGCTGCCTACTACCGTGATTGCCCTATTTAGCAATATTCTAAAGAGAGAATTCCCTTTCCATAGAAAATTGTGGTTTTCATTCATTTATTATAAATTAGATAGATAATTTCATAATTGTCTAAGGGCTAGCTGTTGCTTTTATACATACTATTTATAAAGGCTGTAGGTCTCTGGACCTTTTTCACTCCCTACAACACAGCTCATTCTTTGTCTGTCTTTTCTTATTTACACTTCTGTGACACATTTTTACAATTTGCTCAAGGCTTTTTAAAATAGTTTGTATTACTTCTCAGCCCATCTACCATCTCATTTATTTATAAGCCTGCAACTTAAATCCTTAAAGATGGACAAGAAGGGAAATATAGAAGAAGAGTGGGAATACTAATTATTTTTTAATGCTTCTCCATTGTTCTTTAATAGTTTTTTTTGGTGGTCTTTCCCTTATATGACAAAAATCATCAACAGGTACTTATTAAGTGGCTGCTATGAAAAATGAAGATATTCTCCAGAGTTCCTTCTATTCTAACAGTTTATAAATCTATAAGTAGTGCACTGTGCTAAGTGCAGTATTGTGGAAAATGCAAAGAAATAAAATCAACAGGCAATTTTAATAAGTTTCTTATTTTAGAGTCCTCTGCATTGTTTATTGTTTGTATAGAAATACAGTACAGTTTACTATTTTAATTTAGATTATACAGGGTGAGGCAAAAGTAGGTTTACAGTTGTTTGCATGGAAAAAATAATGCAATAGTTAATAAATAATAATATAAGAATAAGCTCTGTGTTTTGCATACTCATAACGTAAACCTAAATTTGCCCCACTCTGTAGAAAAGCCCACAGCATATTTTAAACTTAACACAAATTATGCTCACTTCTGTGACATCAAATAATATTTCTATAGTAATTCTTACATTTTTCTTTTTTTGAAATAATCTTTCTATTTCAGTATAGTTTAAGATTTACAGAAAAGTTATGGAAACAATTCAGAGTTCCCATATACATCACACCTAATTTCTCCTATTATATTTTTGTGTTGTTTTAAATCAATATTATTATGGTTTACATGTCAAAAGCTGTACATATTTAAAGTATACACTTGATGACTTCGAGATAAGTTTACAATTGTAAAATCATAACCACCATCATTCAAGACCATAGGTTACCCATCACCTTTATGAGTATCCTCCTGTCTACTTTATTATCATTTGTGTGTATTAAGAACACTTATAATGTAAGATATACCATTTAGAAAATCTTAAGTATACAATGCACTATTATTACCTACAGGCACTATGTTGTATAGTAGATCTCCAGAAATTATTTTCTTGCATAATTTAAACTTTGTACCCTTTGACCATCACTTCTCCATTTCTCACTCCTACCAACCTCTGGCAATCACCATTCTACTCTCTACTTTTGTGAGTTTGAATATTTATTTTTTATAAACTTATTGGGGTGACATTATGGCATTGGTTAATTAAGTTACATAGGTTTCAGGTATACAATTCTATAATATATCATCTGTATTTTGTATTGTGTGTTCACCACCCAAGTGAAGTCTCCTTCCATCACCATTTATACCCCTTTTACCCTCTTCCACTGCCCCAACCTTCTTTTCCCTCTGGTAATCACAACAGTGTTATCTGTGTCAATGAGTTTTAGGTTTTTTTGTTTGTTTATTTGTTTGTTTTGTTTTTGCTTAATCCCTTTACCTCTTTCACCCAGCCCTCCAAACCCCCACCTCTCTGACAGCTGTCAGTTTGTTCTTTATGTATGAGTCTGTTTCTATTTTCTTAGTTTTGTTTGTTAGATTCCAGATGTAAGCAAAATCATATGACATTTTTCTTTATCTGACATATGGCTTATTTCACTTTGCATTATAGGGTCCAGGTCCATCCATGCTGTCACAAAAGGTAAGTTTTCCTTATATTTTGGTGGTAAAGTAGTATTCCATTGTGTAAATGTACCACAGTTTTTTATCCACTCATCTACAGATAGGTACTTGGGGTGCTTCCAAATCTTGTCTATTGAAAATAGTGTTGCGATAAAAATAGGGGTGCATATATTTTTTTGAATCAGTATTTCAGGTTTCTTTGGATCTATTCCCAGAAATGTAATGACTGGGTCATAAGGCAGTTCCATTTTCAGTTTTTTTGTGTTTTTTTTTTAGGAAATCCATACTCTTTTCCCACCATGGCTGCACCAATCTGCATTCCCACCAACAGTGGATGAACCTTCCCTTTTCTCCACATCCTCATCAACACTTGTATGTTGATTTAGTGATGATAGCCATTCTGACAGATGTGAGGTGATATCTCATTGTAATTTTAATTTGCACTTCTCTGATCATTAGTGACATTGAGCATCTTTTCATATGTCTAGTGGCCATCTATATGTCCTCTTTGGAGAAGTGTTTATTCAGTTCCTTTGCCCATTTTTAATTGGATTATTTTATTTTTTGATATTGAGTTGTAAAAGTTCTTTATAAATTTTGGATATTAACCCCTTATCAGATGTATCACTGGTGAATATGCCACATATAAGTGACATCATACAGTATTTGCCTTCCTCCATCTGACTTGTCACTTGGCATTGTGTACCCCAGGGACATCGTCGTCGTTACAAATGGCATAATTTTATTTTTTAAAGTATATTTTTATTGATTTCAAAGAGGAAGGGTGAGGTAGAGAGAAATAGAAACATCAATGGTGAGATAAAATCATTGATTGGCTGCCTCCCACACACACATCCCACTAGGGTTGAGCCTGCAATCCAGGCATGTGCCCTGACCAGGAATCAAACCTTGACCTCCTAGTTCATAGTTGATGCTCAACCACTGAGCAACACTAGCCGGGCAGAATTTTCTTTTGTAAGTCTGAATAATATTCAAATCTAGGCATATAACACATCTTATTTATCCTTTCATCTATCAATGGAAATTTAGGTTGTTTTCATTCCTTGCCTATTTTGAATAATGTTGCAATGAATATGAAAGTGCAGATATCTCTTCAAGATTCGGATTTCAATTCCTTTGTATAAATATTCAGAAGTGGGATTGAAGGTGTTAGGTTAGGTGGCTCAGGAAGCGGTGTAGAGAACAAAGAGAACCAAACGGTTAAAGAGGAGAAAAGGAAAAGGTTTTAATCTGCGTCCCCGGGCGATCCACGAACCCCAAAGACAGGGCTCGTGGATTCACGCCCACAGGGAGGGAGCACTTTGTTTTATACTGCGGTTGGGTGAGGAGCGGGGGCATGAACTGAGGAAGTCCCTGCCATAGGGGGTCAGCAGGGTATTCAGGAAGGAGTCAGTATCTGTGTGGGAGTCGTGTGGATTCCAGGGAAGGTCCGGTATCTGTTTCTGGCATGCTGATCTGTTTGAAATTACAGGGAGGGTCCATTATCTCGTCACACGTCTGCTTGTATCTGATCCTGGGCTCTCTCAGACCTAACATCCAGGCCTTTTGGTGATAGGGGATGCCGACTCATTCTGACTGCTTCCAGCTGATCAGGGGCGACAAGGGGGGGCGTTAAAGGCCAGGGTCAGGCTAACAGAAGGGTCATATGGTAGTTCTATTTCTAGTTTAATGATGAACCTCCATACTGTTTTATATAATGGCTGGAACAATTTATATTGTCACCAAAATTATATAAAGGTTTGGTTTTTGTTTTTTCATATCCTTACCAACACTTGTAATCTTTTGACAATTTGATAACAACCATTCTAGCAGGTGTGAGATGATAGCTAATTGTGGCTTTGATTTGCATTTCACTAATGATTACTGATATTGAGCAGCTTCTCAAATATCTATTGGTTGTTTGTATGTCTTCTTGGGGAAAATACCTATTCATCCTTTGCCCATTTTATTATTTTAAATTTATCATTATTGTTGAAAAATTTTACAGATGTTTCCCTTTATTTCCCCATTGACCAACTCCACCTTGAACCACACCCCAGGCCTTCACCACATTATTTCATATATGCATATAAGTTCTTTGGTTAAACTCTCCCCACCCACCCACCACCCCTGCCTTCCCTCTGAGATTCATCAGTCTGTTCTATGCTTATATGTCTCTGGATCTGTTTTGTTCATGAGTTTATTTTGTTCACTAGATTCCACATATGAGTGAGATCATACTTATTTTTCTCTGATTGACTCATTTCACTTAGCATGATACTCTCCAGGTCCCTCCATGCAATCTAAAAGAGAAAGAGATTTTTCTTTTTTACTGCTCCATAGTATTCCATGGTATAAATGTACCACAGCTTTTTTATCTACTCCTCCACTGAAGGGTACTTGGGCTGTTTCCAGATCTTAGCTATTGTAAATTGTGCTGCTATAAACATACGGTGGAAGGGGGTAGGTACATTCTTTCTGATTGGTGTTTTGGGTTTCTTAGGAAATATTCCTATAAGTGGGGTAACTGGGTCAAATGGTAATTCTATATTTGATATTTTGAGGAAACTCCATACTGTTTTTACAAAATGGCTGCACCAGTCTACATTCTCATCAGCAGTGTACTAGGGTTCCCTTTTCTCCACATCCTCACTAGCATTTGACATTTGTTGACTTGTTGATAGTAGCCATTCTGACAGGTGTGAGGTGAAACCTCACTGTCATTTTAATTTATATCTCTCTGATGATCAGTGACTTTGAGCACTTTTTCATGTTTCTTGGCCATCTGTATATCCCCTTGAGAGAATTATCTATTTAGGTCCTTTGCCAAATTTTTAATTGGATTGTTTGTCTCCCTTTTGTTATGTTGTATGAGTTCCTCAAGCATTTTGGATATTAACCCTTAATCAGATGTATCATTGCCAAAAATCTTCCCACATACAGTGGGCTACCTTTTCATTTTGGTGACGGTTTGTTTTTCTGTGCAGAAGCTTTTTATTTTGATGTAGTCCCATTTGTTTACTTTGACCCAGGAGATGTATCCACAAACATATTGCTATGAAATATTTCTGAGATTCTGCAACCTATGGCTTCATCTAGGATTTTTATGATTTCTTGACTTATATTTAAGTATTTTATGTACTTTGAGTTTATTCTTGTGTATCATGTAAGTTGGTGGTCTAGTTTCATTTTTTTTGCAAATATCTGTCCAATTTTCCCTATACCGTTTATTGAAGAGACTGTTTTGACTCCATTGTATGTAATTGCCTCCTTTGTCAAATATTAATTGAGCATAATCACTTGAGTTGATTTCTGGAGTCTCTGTTCTGTTCCGTTCATCCATATGCCTGTTCTTGTGCCAGTACTGGGTTGTTCACAGTGGCTTTGTAGTTTAACTTGATATCAGATATTGTGATCCCTCCAACTTTGTTTTTTCTCAAGATTGCTGCAGCTATTTAGGGTGTTTTATGTTTCAATATAAATTTTTGGAGTATTAGTTCTAGATCTGTGAAATATGCCATTAGTGTTTTAATAGGGATTTCATTAAATCTGTAAATTGCTTTGGATAGTATGGACAATTTAATGATGTTACTTCTACCAATCCATGAACATGGTATATCCTTCCACTTGTTTATATATTCTTCTATCTCATTTTTTTCAATGTCCTGTAATTTTCTGAGTAGAGGTCTTTCACCTTCTTGGTTAAGTTTATTCCTAAGTATCGTAATTTTTTTCTGTTGCAGTGGTAAATGGATTTTTTTAAAATTTAGTTTCTTGTTCTGAGAGTTCATTATTAGTGTATTAAAATGCCATAGATTTCTGAGTATTAATTCACTAACCTGCTACATTGCAAAATTCATTTATGAAATCTAGTTGTTTTTTGGTGGAGACATTTTGGTTTTCTATGTAAAATATCATGGCATCTGTGAATAATGAGAGTTTTAGTTCCTTTTTCCAATTTGGATGCCTTTTATTTCTTCTTGTTGTCTGATTGCTGTGGACAGCACTTCCAGTACTATGTTGAATAAGGGAGGTGAAAGTGGATATCCCTCTCTTGTTCCTGTTCTTGGGGAAAATGGTTTTAGTTTTTGTCCATTGAATATGATGTTGACTGTAGGTTTGTTATATATGGCCTTTATTATGTTCATGTATGACCTCTCTATTCCCACTTTGCTGAGAGTTTTTTTCAAAAATGGGTGTTTGATTTTGCGGCATGCTTTTTCTGTGCGTGACCCTGTAAATTTTATCTTTAATTTGTTTATGTGATGTAAGACATTTATTGATGTGTGAATATTGTATCAGCCTTGCATTGCTGAAATAAATCCCACTTGGCCATGTGTATGATCCTTTTAAAATATTGTTGGATCTGATTTGCTAATATTTTGTTTAGGATTTTATCACCAGAGATATTAGCCTGTATTTCCCCTTCTTTGTAGTGTCTTTATCTGGTTTGGAATTAGGATAAAGCTGGTCTCAAAATAGAGCTTGGAATTGTCCCTTCCTCTTGGATTTTTTTTAATAGTTTGAGGATTATAGGTGTTAGTTTCTTTTTGAATATTTGATAAAACACTCCTATGAAGTCATCTGGACCAGGGCTTTTGTTTGCTAGGAGGGTTTTTGTTTGTTTGTTTTGTGTGTGTGTGTGTGTGTGTGTGTGTGTGCTTATGTTGTTATTTTTACTGCTTCAATATCATCAATTGTTATTGCCCTACTCCGGTTTTCTGATTCTTCCTGATTCAGTTTTGGAAGATTGTCTTTTTCTAGAATTTGTCCATTTCATCCACATTGTTCAGCTTGTTGGCATGTAGTTGCTCATAGTATTTTCTTACATTCCTTTTTATTTCTGTGGTGTCAGTTGTTACATCATCACTTTTGTTTCTGATTTCATTTATTTGGGTCCACTATCTTCGTTTCTTGATGAGTCTGGCTACAGGTTCATCAGTATTATTTATCTTTTCAAAGAACTAGCCTTTGCTTACATTGATATTTTGTTTTGTTTTGTCTCTATGTCATTTATTTAGGCTCTACTCTTTCCTTTTTCCTTCCTTCTACTTACCTTTTCTCATTTTTTTAAATAATAGGGTTAAATAGTTTATTATTAATGTTTCTTGTTTTTTGAGGTAGGCCTATAGTGCTATGAACTTACCTCTCAGGACTGATTTTGCTCTGTCCCAGAGATTTGGGGTAGTTGTGTGTTCATTTTCATTTGTTTCCAGGAAGTTGTTTTCTTTCTTGATCTCATTGGTAACTCATTATTTAATAACATGATATTTAGGATCCATGAGTTTGAATGTTTTTCAATGTTTTTAATGGAGTTCATTTAAATTTCATTCCACTGTGATCTGAGAAGATGGTTGATATGATTTAAATCTTGAACTTGTAGAGACTTGTTTGTTGTCCTAACATGTGGTCTATCTTTGAGAATGACCCATGTGAACTTGAGAAGAAAAGTATATTCTGCAACTTTGGGGTGATATGTTCTATAAATGCCAATTAAATCCATCTGATCCAGTGTGTGATTGAGAGTCGCTGTTTCTTTGTTAATTTTTTGTCTAATAGATCTACACACTGAAGTCATTGAGGTGTTAAAGTCCCCTACTATGACTATATTGTTTTCAATCTCTCCCTTAAAGTCCTCTAGAAGATATTTTATATATTTAGGTGCTCCTTTATTGGGTGCATATATGTTTACCACAGTTATATCCTTTTATTGGATTGATCCTTTTAGTATTATGTAGAACCTTGATTGTGCCTGTGATGGCCTTCATTTTGAAGTCTGTGTTGTCAGATATAAGTATTGCTACCCCAGCTTTTTTTTCTTTTCCATTTGCATGAAAAAAAATTTTGCCATCTTTTCACTCTCCTCCTGTGTGAGTCGTTTGTTCTGAGGTGGAGCTCTTCTACACAGCATATATCTGGGTCATGTTTTGTATCCATTCAGCTACCCTATGTCTTTTGATTGGAGCATTTAATCTATTTACATATAAGGTTATAATTGATAGTTATTTATTTGCCATTTTAATTCTTTATAGCTATGTGTGTGTTTTTTTTCTCTCTCTATGTCTTCTTCTCATTACAGCAGTGCCTTTTATAATTTCTTGCAGTGCTGGTTTGGTAGTGATACACTCCTTTATCCCTTTTTTCTGGTCTGGGAAGCTTTTTATTACACCATCTATATTGAATGATAGCCTTGGTGGATATGGTAATCTTGATTTCAGATCCTTGTTTTTCATTACTTGAATACTTCATGCCATTCCCTTCTGGTCTGTAGAGTTAACAAATTGCTTTCCTCTCATAGCCTTTAAGATTCTCTCTTTGCCTTTAATTTTTGGCATTTTAATTATGATGTGTTTGGACTGTTTGTATTCTTCTTGCCTTCTGACCTTGTGTGATTTTTTCCTTCCCTAGGTTAAGGAAGTTTTCTGCCATTACTTCTTTAAACATGTTCTCTACCTCTTGTTCACTTTCTTCCCCTTCTGGCACTCCTATGATGTGAATATTGTTATTTTTCATGTTGTCTCATAGATCCTTTAAGCCAGTGGTTCTCAACCTTCCTAATGCCACGACCCTTTAATACAGTTCTTCATGTTGTGGTGACCCCCAATTTCATTGTTACAAATTGAACATGATTAAAGCATAGTGATTAATCACGAAATCAAGATGTAATTATATATGTGTTTTCCGATGGTCTTAGGCGACCCTTGTGAAAGGGTCATTCGACCCCCAAAGGGGTCGCGACCCACAGGTTGAGAACCACTGTTTTAAGCTGTCCTCTGTTTTCTAATTGGTTTTTGGGTTGTTTTTGTTTGTTTGTTTGTTTGTTTGTTTGTTTTGGTTCTCTGATTGAGTTATTTTTTTCTACTCTGTCTTCTAATTCACTGATCTGATCCTCTGCTTCCCATAATCTGCTGTGAATTCCTTCCACTGTGTTCTTTATTGCTATATTAAGCTGTCCTCTGTTTTCTAATTGGTTTTTGGGTTGTTTTTGTTTGTTTGTTTGTTTGTTTGTTTGTTTTGGTTCTCTGATTGAGTTATTTTTTTCTACTCTGTCTTCTAATTCACTGATCTGATCCTCTGCTTCCCATAATCTGCTGTGAATTCCTTCCACTGTGTTCTTTATTAGTGCTATATCATTCTTCATAGTTATTATATCTTTTCTCATGTTCTTGAGCATCCTTGCCATCATTATTCTGAACTCTATGTCTGATATATGTCTTATCTCCATTTTATTTAGCTCTTCTTCTGGAGAATTATCTTGCTCTTTCATTTGGAGCTTGTCTTTTTGTCTCCCGATTTTGGCAGCCTGTGTGTGCTTGTGTCTATGTATTAGTTAGGTCTGCTTTGAATCCCAATCTCTAGTGCAGGAAAATGTCAGACACTGTTTCTTACTGGCCCTGGGTACCCTGTTTGAAGCTATCAGCAATCCACAGCTTGTGTTACCTCTGGTGGGACTGGGTGCCTTTGGAAAGGACCAAGATATGCACCAGGGTCTGCTTTTCCTAGCCCCTGGCTGTAATTAAATCAGGTAAAGACTTAATGCCTCCAGAGACCAGCTTCTGCCTGCCATCTGATTGTTATGCAGTCTTGAACAGCCTCTGACTATGGACCTCAGTGTGGGGCAAGAGGTTTTCCAATAGGGTGGGGCAATTGTTTCTGCCTGCAGGCTGATTATTATTCTCAGTCTCTTAACGGGTCTCAGAAACTCCACAGGGTGGGGCAAGAGGTTTTCTAATTGGGTGGGGCAAAAACTTCCTGGATGATAAAGGTTCACCTGAGAAAGATGTCCTCTACAGTATCAGAGCATGACTCAGCACAGGGAACCGGGGTGTCTGCCTTCCAAGGTTAACCGCAGGACTCCCAACCCTGGCTTCTGCTCACAATCTTCCAGTCCACTCTACCCTCCCTCTTCGAAAGCCATGTTGAGTGGCTGCACACAAGATTTTGTGCGTTGGCTCTTTAAGAAGGTGCCTGCATTTCCAGTGCTCTCTCCCTAGCAGACAGCAACCCTGATGCTTTTCACAGCCGAATGTTATGTGAGTACCTTTCTCAGTTAGGGTGCTCTGGGATGGGGAGCCAAGATTTGGGTTTAGTCCCCAGAGTTCTCAGTGGGAACCCCCCACAGCTGAGATATCCCTAAAGAACTTCAGCTGTTGTTTGTGGGAACCCGGCTAGCCCTTTGGGACATTCACAATTTCTACCAATTTCTATGCAGTCTCCACTTTCCGTCCTTGATTATCACAATTCTCTCTAGCTAGTCTTTAATTGATTATTCATGATGGTTTTTCTGTATTTAGTTGTAATTCCAGTTTGGTCCTGGGAGTTTATCAGTGTAGCTTCCACTTACTACACTGTCATTTTGGAATTCTCCTACAAAATATTTATTGAGCACCTATTAATTCCAAGAATTAGGCTACATATTTAGATTAACTCAGTGAAAAAAAAAATTCTTATCCCCCTAGAATACTCTTTATCATGGGGTGACATACAATCAACAATTGTAATATAAGCAAGAGTTCTGAAAGAAAAATATGGGCTCATATTAGAGAGTATAAATGGTGAATTTGATATAATTTGAGGGGGTCACAGGCAAAGACCTTGAGGAAGTGATCTTTAAGAAGAAGAGATCTGAAGGATAATTGTTATCCTGACAACAATTGGTTTAAGGTGGGACTGAGGGGTAAAGGATATTGGTGGAAAGAAGTGACATTAAAGAGTAAGCAGGAAGGAGTTAGATTATCAAAAGCCTCATATTTCATGTTGTAAGAAGTGTGGTCTTGATTTTAAAGGGCTAGGATGTCACTGAAGAATTTTAAGCAGCAAAATGTCTGATTTTCACTCTAGAAATGTCATTTGGGTTATGATGTGGAAAACAAATAATAGGGCAATGATGGAGTCAGAGAAGCAGGTATAACTCCTAGATTCTTAATCCCCTTGTGAT